CCAAGGAGGAAATACAGGAGCTCCCAGAATTCTCAGGAAAAGGCCATGCCCACACAGAGGCCTCACTGGCTATATCCTGATTTACAGACTAGACTCCATCCCTACACTCTTAATTCTCAAATTGACATCAGATAATGTTAACTACCACACCCCCAGTCCCAGCCTCTGTACTGGTGTACACCCCCCCAGCCCTAGCATGCATTCTCAAGGACACACACCCACACACACAACTGTTTCCCTTAGGACCTCCAGAACATTTTGAGAAAAGGCAGCCTCTCATCACCATCATTTTTCTGCAACACTGCCCCCCTCTCCCCCACAACTCTGCAGTGTCACACCTAGTGGCTGGGGACAGGTGTGGGCAGGATCGTGACTCCTCCCCATCCCCATCCCGCTAGACCCTTCCAGAACATTTCTTCCATCATCACCCAACAGCCCACCTTCCATGAGATTCCTGCTGCCCGTGACCTCCCTTCTGACCCCCGCTCCCCGACTGTCCAGGGCTCTCTCCTGAGCCTTTCCCTGTCATCCACCTGAGACCTTGGCATTCAGCTCCATGATCCAATTTGTCCCCAACTCAGTCACTGGGCTCCAACCTCAGTAACTTATTCCCATTTCCTCCCAGACACCTAGAGCTCCCTCTCCTGTCACTGAGCTCCTGCTACCACCTCTAAGGGCTCTTTCCGACGGCAGCCTTCTCCATGCCCCTCTCTCTCTGCTGCGCCCACCGCTCTTTATCCTTGGTGGAACAGCAGGCTTTCATAAAACAACGTATCAAGCCTCCCAAAGGCTGGCCCCCACATCCCCTCAGCCCCCTCTGGTAGCCCACTGTCTCCCGTCACCCAAGTTCCCATGCGTTCACCCTCCTGCTGAGTGAGTCCAGGCCCAGGTTTTCTGGTCTCGTGTTTTTCTCCCAATCTTTCTGAAAGCTTTTATTCCCCCTTGTCTTCCTTTCTGGTCTGAAGCCCGAGGCCCCCGATGTCAACCAGCCTATAGCCACTAACTCAGGACTTCTCACCCCCCTGAGACTCTGGGCCCTGCTGCTTCGCTGGTTTTCAATCCTCCCTGAAGATCCCCTTCGGTCCCTGGAACAGAGAGGGCTTGCTTGTCCACATGGGCGCCAGGAACACTGTGCCTCTTTTCTGGCGCGTCCCTGATGCTGACAGCCTCCTTCAGCTGAGCGCCCCAGGAGGGTCCTGGCAGCTCTTAGCTCTGTTTTAGGGGTCGAATGACCCTTTCACAGGGGTCACCCTATTCATAACAGCAGCAAAATGAAACTTACGAAGTAACAACGAAAGTAATTGTATGGTTGGGGTCCCCACAACACAAGGAGCTGTATGAAAGGGTCGCGGCATCAGGAAGGTTGAGAACTGCTGATCTAGCTAGTGTTGCCATCACAGAAACATCTAGTGTGCGGCTTAAACAAGCAGAAATGTGCTTTCTTGCAGTTCGGCTGCTGAGCGTCTGAATTCGGGGTGTGGACCTGGGGAGGTCTTTCCCGGTCAGTAGCCCCGTCCTGTGGTGGCCCTTGGCATTCGTCTACACTGTCTGTCTTGCTTTCCATGTGACTCAGAAAGGATGCTGACTTTGTGAACCTAACAAGGGAAATCCCTGTCTCCAAGGGTACAGGCGCTTCCACACATCGGGGGACACCCTTACATGGCTAGCAGGCGAGTCAGAGCCAGGCTGCAGGCGGGAGGGGTCTGGAGCTGCTTCTCC